AAAAAAAAAAAAAAAATCAAGTCTTTAGTCGAATTCGATTTTTATAATTCTCTAGGCACAACAAACTCTTACCTTGACTGGCTAAGTTTGAGCTTGGATAGAGCACGGTGGTGGACGGCGGCGGGTAGTGGCGAGGACGGCGGAAGCTACGGCGCGTATAGGTGCACGAAAGTGTTTGAGAGGGAGCTGACACTGGGCCGCTTTTTGTGTGTGTAGCAGTGTATGGGCCTGATTGAGATGCTCTGTCCAATGCGTTGGGGTGGGTTGTAAAGCCGGCCTAATTGATATGCTATGGAAACACTATATTGGGCTAATAGAGGCGGAGAAATGCCAGCCCACATTTTTTAAGACCCTCCTATCTCTAATTATCAACTAGTAATTATGTGGGTGATTGGTTAAAAATTTAAATATAAATTTATGACAAAAATTTAAAAAAATGGAGAGAATATTTTTTTTAACTTAAAATACTTTGATAAATACTTATATTACTGCTTACATTTAGAATGACACTCTTTATTTGTACGACTTATTCATTATATATTATAATATTTGTTTTTAAATAACTACATTAAACATAAGTATATTAATTGAGAAATATTTTTATTCTTCCAATTAATTTAATAAATAATATTATTATTATTATAATAATAAATATAATTTATTTATTTTATATATACAATATGGATGTCAAATCGAAACTCATCAAAAGGTGATTAATTTGATATATTATATATGTAAAACCGATAAGAAATACAAAAATTATCAGTTTTAAAAATACATTTATAATTCATAGTTATAATAAGAAATGATATTAAAATGCAATTAATACATCTAAAATGATCATAAATAAATCAACATATTTATGGTAATCAAGACCTAATTATTTTTGGATTGGAAGTGAATTAAAATATATCCTAGTCAAATAATGAAACATGAAATTTTGACATTTAGGATCCCAAAGTGCTTCGAAAATTCGTCCCGTTGACAGTGCCCTGGCCGACCCTTGTTAGAATGTTTCTTGAAATATACGAGTCTGCCAGTTAGGCTGAGGCTTAGTATATTCTTGAATTATACAAAGGGATATCTTTTAAAGTACTAGTAATAATAAAATGTTAAGAAAAGAAAATAAATTGAAAAGAAAAGCCGAGAAGTAGAGCACCATTCTATATCGTTTTGTCCGAAACCAATGGTTACCACTGCTGCTACCACTCCACACCTAAAGATAACAAACGCCGCCGCATTCGGGTCCCGACGGGTTACAGGATCCGGGTCAAGGGTTTGGCCCAGGATTCACTCGCTCTCCATGGCGAGCTCCGCTTTTGCTCTATCCAGCGCCTTTCTTCCTGCCCGCGACAACCTCGTTTTCCTCGCAGGCGGCTCGGCCCGCCGGCGAGCCGGCCGATTCGACCCACGTGCTGTTTCAAGTGGGCTCTGTCTCCGGAGGCTTCCCACCTCTGATTTTTGTGTGGCGGCGGCGGCGGCGGCGGGAGCTACCACTTCCGACCAGCCTAGCTCTTCAGGTTTTTGGTTCGCTCATTTTTATGTTTGGGGGCAAACAGAGTGAAGTTTGTTGATTATTCAGCTAGAATTTTACTTGGGTTTCTAATGTCTTACATAATATTTTGACTTTATTTGGTTTTGCATAAGTTGGGTTTATGGAGATATTATTGAAATGAGAGGATTGAACTTATGTGCTTGTTTTAGTGGGATTTATGCTGCTTGGAGAGCTGGAGCTTGGATAATTTTTGTATGTCGGTCTACTCGTTATAGGTTTGTCGTTTATACGGTTTAATAATTTGGCTATAAAGTGTAGAAAGATCGAATGAGGTAATGTAGTTGAAAAATCAAAGAAGCTGCAAGATAAGATTTTGAACTAGAAATGTTTGTGATTGCTAAGCCTTTGATAGACGATTTAGTGATGACTGATGATCATAAATCTGAATAAGGTTGAAAAGTTTGAGTGCAATAAAAATCATTACTATATTTCAATTCTGTCTTATTGGTGGCACAATAACCGTGCACGATTCATCTACTATTCTAACTAATGCTTGTAAATTTGCATCTTTCAGTTCCTGTTTATATATACTTGCAATCACTTATGTCCTTTAAATCTATTACGTATGTTGTTGGTTTATCTAAAGACAAACAGTAGTTTATCTGTGTGTATGATGTTTATTCCAGTTCTTATTGCCAGCAACAACAACAACATAACCTTTTTGTCCCAAGCAAGTTGGGGTAGCCTTTTTGCCAGCATTTGTCTATATTATTGTTATTTTCTTTTTCGTTTTTATGGAATCATTTTTCAGAGCGTTTTTCCTTTTATTTATTCTCAGTATACCCAATATACCATTTGATTTCTTTCCATTTGTTGCAGCTCAAGGGATCGAGAATGTGGTGATTATAGGATCGGGTCCAGCTGGATATACAGCAGCAATTTATGCTGCTCGAGCCAATTTGAAGCCAGTGGTCTTTGAGGGATATCAAGCTGGTGGCGTTCCAGGAGGACAATTAATGACGACAACAGAAGTCGAGAACTTTCCTGGTTTCCCTGATGGTATAACGGGTCCGGATTTAATGGACAGGTGGTTTTTTTAACCTTTTAGGAGTTTATTTTTATTTCATTTTTTTTTCGGCTGTCTGTATTTATTTCCCTATAAGTTGATTTTTAATTTAAATATGCTAATGTTTACTCAATTCATAATCTGCTAGAATGCGACGACAAGCCGAGCGATGGGGTGCGGAGTTATATCAAGAAGATGTGGAATTTATTGATGTGAAAAACAGACCTTTTACCGTGCAGAGTAGTGAACGCAAGGTGATTGTACTTACATGCGATTCTTTTTCATTTATTTATATTTTTTACTGAAATGAATCTTTCTCCTTTTTTTTTTGGGTGCATTTTTACTCATCGGTAGTGAGTTTTTATTGTGATTTATATGAAAGTTACACCACAATATTATTGCTCAAGATTTGATCATTGTTTAATCAAACATGCAATCTTTTATGGGTGCACAGTGCACCCTCAGTTGTAATCTTCATAAATCCGAATGTCGTTTTGTGTGACTTAAATAACACTTTCTCTTATATTGATTTATAACTAGATTACCCCAGCACATGTTAGTTTCCTAAAAGAATAAATTCTCATCTTTTCAGGTGAAATGCCACAGCATTATTTATGCCACGGGTGCCACTGCAAAGAGGCTGAAATTGCCTCGAGAGGATGAGTTTTGGAGTAGAGGAATAAGCGCTTGTGCAATATGTGACGGGGCTTCTCCACTGTTTAAAGGCCAAGTTCTTGCTGTTGTTGGAGGAGGTGATACGGCCACAGAGGAAGCTTTATATTTGACAAAATACGCTCGACATGTCCACTTACTTGTTCGTAAGGACCAATTAAGGGCATCGAAGGCAATGCAAGATAGGTAAGAATACATACCCTCAATTCTCCAACTTCCAACACCATTTACCTATGAGTTAATTTTTCTTCGGATGTTATCTCTAGAATTTTTTCATTAGGAAAATAATTTCTTGGACATCATTTTTTTTTTCGCATGAGATTTGTGGATTTGCTCTTATGAAATGTGCATCACTTGTGATACTAGTAAGCCTTTCTTTATTTAATTCAAGCTAAAAGCCAAGTGTTTTTTTTCCTTTTCCGAATTGTCCCTTCTCTTTCCCGGTTTTGCTTAACTATCTTTTCGGGTCAGTTAAAACGACTATGAAACAAAGTTTATTTCTTAAAAGGTATTTTTTTTTCAACTCCGTGAATGTCTGTTTAACAGGTTGATTATGGCGAATGTTTCAGAGTATTCAACAATCCGAACATCACGGTTCACTTCAACACCGAAACAGTAGACATCGTCAGCAACACAAAGGGTCAAATGTCCGGCGTTTTGCTCAGAAAAGTCGACACAAACGAGGAATCGGTCTTAGAGGCAAAGGGCCTGTTTTACGGCATTGGCCATTCCCCAAACAGTCAGTTATTGGAAGGCCAAGTGGATCTCGATATTGCCGGTTATGTTTTGGTCGAGGAAGGGTCTGCAAGAACATCGGTGGATGGCGTGTTTGCTGCTGGCGATGTGCAGGTATAATTTATTTATATATATGCTTTCCAAATTTTTATCGAGTTTTTCTTGCTAGAGTTTCTTGTTTGTATCAAACTTTGTGATTCTTTTTTTGATTAGGACCATGAATGGAGACAAGCTGTAACTGCAGCTGGATCGGGATGCGTTGCGGCTCTATCGGTCGAGAGATACCTTACGAGCGAAAATCTGCTGATAGAATTTCACCAGGCATGTTAATATTTATTTATCCATTTCGTGTTATTTGGAGAGTCGATATTTGAGAAATGCTCTCTATATAACTATCGGGAAGCTCATCCTCGCACTTTTTAAAAGATTCCAGTTGTTCAGAATGTGACTCGTGCGCATTTCATATTATTGTTGAATATAAAGATTAGTTTGATAGTATCCTAAGGATCGAGGGACCTTATCATTTTTTTATTTTTTTTTTCTATTTTTCATTTTGAATAAACCAAAGAAGCTTTCTGTACTTTTAAGTTGGTCTTTGAGTCACTAGCACTGCTTAATCAATGCCGAAACGAAAGAGCTTAAATAGTTTCTATCATTTCCTTTTTATTTATTTTTATTTTTATTTTTTGTTTCTTTTTACTGTTGAACAAAATGCAGCCAGCAACCGAGGAGGTTAAGAAAGAACTTACCGACCGGGACGTACAAGAAGGTTTCGATATCACGCTCACCAAGCACAGGGGCCAGGTATGAAGCAATCCAGTATCAACAAGTTCTAATTTATACAAATCCTCCTCTGGGGTTGTAACTAATAACAAAAGGACCTGCGGTATCTTTCAAAAATTTACAAATGCCCCTTTGAATCTATATTGTTTTACAAAATGACCTCATAGGCTCATATGATAGGTGCATTTTGTAGAATCGAAGTACCCATCAAATGTAATTAGACTAAACATCATGCTTCATTCTGTAATTGGCTTTTTTTTTTTTAATTTTAATTATTATTTTCCATTTGCAGTACGCGCTTCGGAAGTTGTATCATGAGAGCTCGAGACTTATTTGTGTGCTATATACTGCACCAACATGCGGTCCATGTAGAACCTTGAAACCAATACTCAGCAAGGTTTAAATATTGAGCCCAAGTGTTTGAGCTTGAGACTCGTTCAAGAAATGTTGGTTTGACCAAAATTGACTTGTCTTGCAGGTCATCGATGAATTCGACCAAAATGTCCACTTTATTGAGATCGATATTGAGGAGGATCAGGAGATTGCCGAGGCTGCTGGAATCATGGGTACACCTTGTGTCCAGTTCTTCAAGAACAAAGAAATGCTCAGGTTGGTTAAAATTCAAGATATTTTATTTAATTTTTTAAATAAAACAAATTAAGCCAAATGGGTTTTTGCAATAATCACAATTACCCCAAAACAAGAATGAAAAATCGATCCAAATTTTTCCTGAAAATGCCGTGTATATCTTTTTATACCGATGTAACGTGAACTTGCAGGACTGTTTCGGGTGTCAAAATGAAGAAAGAGTACAGGGAGTTCATCGAAGCAAATAAATGATTTTCGAGGCCACACTTAATCTCTCTTTCTTTCTGTGCTTTCTTTTCCTTGGATTCAATTTTGATACCTTAATTTGGTCAAGTTTATGTGTGATGAGATGTATTCTTTGATAGCCCCTTGTCATATTGTATATTGTACATTCGGAATAGTATTAAACAAAGCTTGTTTTTTGCTGGGAGGGCTTCAGCAAGTGAGTTCCGCAGCAAGCGCGGCTCGCAAGCCGCTCGCGAGCGCTCGAGTCAAAGCTCAACTTGAGTTCGAGCCCATATTTTGCCTTGTCGAGCGGCTCGAGATGCACATTAAATTACTAAAATACCCCTTATTATATATATATTAGCATAGGTGTTTAATGGTAATTTTACCTTTCCACTTAAAAATTTTCTAACTCGAGCCGAGCTCGAGCTCTTTGATTCGAGTCGAGCTCGATCTATTGTAGTTTTTTATCGAGTCGATCTCGAGCTTCAAAAATCGAGCTCGAGCAGCTAAAAAAAAATCAATCCTGCTTGATAAGGCCAATGCTCGACTCGGCTCGGTTTGTTTGTAGTTCCTAGTGTATACTGAAAAATCAATTTTTGGGAGCCTCAGATATTAAACTAAACTTTTATACAATCCTCAATAATAATATAGCTGCCATAGTACCAGCAATATGCTTTGATTTTTGCTATGTATGTCAATCAAACAAATTATTTCTGAAAAATACTGTAATGATGGAAGTATTTAAAGTTATTATTTTAGAGAACTTGTGCAATTTTGTGACATAAAAAAAAAAAAAAAACATATTAAAAGTATGTGAGGATGATTGTATCTTCAGGTGACTTTTTTATTTCAACTTTTCTTTCTCTTTTCTTGAGAATAATATTGGAAATTAGAAACAGTGTAGAGTGAGATTGCATAAGAGCATCTCCAATGAAACGTCCATTTTGTGATTTATAGCATGGAGAAATGAAATTAAAAAATTGCGTCTCCAATGGTTAAATTGTGGTGTCATTTGTGATGTGTAAACTTGTAATTGGTTGAAAAATAAAGATAAATTGAATAAATAATATAAGTTGTTTAGATTGACTTCTACATATAGAAATCCTTCTAGACATTGGTCTGTAATGACCTTTGATATTTGTAATTTTTCTGTATTTTAGTAGATAGCTTAGAATAGAAATATGTTCATGAATATAGAAGGTGGGGGAGAAGACAGATAGAAGAGAGAGAAGAGTAGAGGGATAGCGAGAGAGAGAGAGAGAAAGGAGAATATTTCATGTAACAGCTTACTTCATTTCATCACATGTGAGGTAAGTTATAATCTGTTACAAAATTTTGCCCTAATTCCCTAAATGTCCTTAGCTTCTAGAATAAAACATATCTGCACCCAAATTCTAAGTAAAGTTGGCTAGCCCAACTTTTACATAAAAACCGACCACTAGAAAGGCCCAACTTAAAACATAATTTCAAACACAAACAAAAAGCCCAAATAACTAGAACTCATAAGGTGGCCCTAAATATGAAACAGGCCAAAAATCCCAATTTATCTAATCTTCAAACTGTAACCCTAACCCTTTCTCGTCATCCTCGTCGCCTCGACTTTCTCCGCGGCCTTGTTTACTTCCAAAACCACCAAATCTTCTCTTTTCTCGGCCAAGTTCTCGCCTTTTCCATTATTCTTCACCTCAAAGCTTCCGCACTTAGCTGTCTCGATGGAAGCATCACCTGAAGTCATGACAATACCCCCCGCCGAGGCCGGACCTTGTCCCCAAGGGCCGAAGTCTGGAAATTTACGGCGGAGGTGATTTTCATCCTCCCAGGTGGGTTTAATCTGGTTATCGGTTGACCACTTCACCAACACCTGCAAGACTTCATTCCCTTTGCGCTTCACGGTCCTGGAATCCAGAATATCCAATGGGAAGATCTTGAAATGGCCATCAGCATCCGTCTCAGGTAAGGTACTCGAGGGTAAGTGAGTTGATTTTAGCACCTTCTTAAGCAAAGAAACATGAAACACTGGGTGGATCTTTGAGTCTGCTGGTAGATCTAGCTTGTATGCCACAGTGCCAATCTTTTCGATGATAGTGTAGGGTCCATAATACTTGGCTGAGAGTTTGACATTTTTTCTGAGACTCACTGAATTTTGTTTGAATGGTTGGAGTTTAAGAAAAACTTGGTCCCCAATTTCAAACTGCCTCTCTTGTCTTTTCTTGTCTGCATGCACCTTCATCCTGTTTTGGGCTTGCACGAGGTTGTCCTTTATTTTGTGCATCATTTCTTGTCTACTTAGGACTGCATCTTTAGCTTTAGTAGTGTAGTTGTCTAGGAAAGGCCCTAGAGAGAAATTAAGAGGCTTGTATCCATAGAGTGCTTGAAAAGGAGTTACTTCAAGCTAGAATGGTAATTTGTGTTATACCAGTACTCAGCTAAGTTTAACCACTTACCCCACTGTTTTGGGTTTTCATGGACCATGCACCTAAGATAGGTTTCCAAGCACTGGTTCACCCTTTCAGTTTGGCCATCTGATTGTGGATGGTAGGCTGTAGTCAATTCCATCTTTACACCCAGTAGTTTAAAGAATTCCCTCCAGAAATGGCTTGTAAAAACCTTGTCCCTGTCAGTAACCATACTAACAGGCAGTCCATGTAGCCTGTAGATGGAATTCATAAATAGCTCAGCAACTCCTTGGGAAGTAAAAGGGTGTGATAATGGTAGGAAGTGGGCATATTTTGTGAATCTGTCCACTATCACCATGATAACATTCTTCCCATTTGACTTTGGCAACCCTTCTATAAAATCCATAGTAATGTGGATCCAAGCTTGCTGAGGTATGGGTAGTGGTTGTAGAAGCCCAGGGTATGCACCATGGTCAACTTTACTTTTCTTGCACACCTCACACTGTCCTACCCAACTGATGACATCCTTTTTCATTAGGGGCCAGAAAAAACTCCTCTTCATTCTCATATATGTTCCTTGAACACCAGAGTGTCCCCCATAAGATGAGTCATGCATGGCCTTAAGAATTTCCTTCCTGATTGTCCCTTGTGAACCAACCACCACTCTGCCTTGATACCTAATTAAGTCTCCTGAGATAGTGAACTCAGGATAAGTATTAGGGTGTACACTGTTGGCCTGTAAAATTTTCTGACAAAAAGGATCCTTGTCATAGGTCCCAACCACTCTCTGCACCCATAAGGGTTGGATAGTTGAAATTCCCAAACAGTCTTCCTCTTGTCCATCCCTCCTGGACAGAGCATCTGCCACCTTGTTTTCACTGCCTTTCTTATAATGAATTTCATAGTCAAGTCCAAGCAGTTTGGTTAACCATTTTTGCTGCATAGGGTTCATAGCCTTTTGGTCCAACAAGTACCTTAATGCTTGTTGATCAGTTTTTATGATAAATTTGTGGCCCAATAGGTAGCTCCTCCACCTTTGTACAACCATTAATACAGCTAGGAATTCCCTTTCATATATGGATAAAGCCTGATTCTTGGGACACAAGGTCTTACTCATGTAGGCAATAAGTTTCCCATTCTGCATCAACACAGCTCCTACCCCAGTACCACTAGCATCTGTCTCTAGGATTAAGGGTTGAGTGAAATCTGGCATGGCCAGAACTGGAGCTGAAATCATAGCCTGTTTGAGTGCCCTGAAAGCACAATCTGCTTCTGGAGACCACTTAAACTTGTCATTCTTCAGTATAGTGGTCATTGGTTTGCTGATTAGGCCATAATGCTTGATGAACCTCCTGTAATAACCAGTTAACCCAGGAACCCTCTTAATTGCTTGAATGTGGTTGGTGTTGGCCAGTCCACCATGCTAGAAATCTTGTGTGAGTCAGTAGCTACCCCTTTGTGAGATATGACATGGCCCAAATACTCAATTTCTTCTTGCCCAAACTGACATTTGGACATTTTTGCATAAAGTTGATTCCTCCTTAGCTCAGTTAGGACTGTCTCCAAATGATTCAAGTGATCCTCCCAAGATTGGCTATAAACAAGAATATCATCAAAGAACACTAGCACAAACTTCCTCAGGTAGGGTCAAAAAACCTGATTCATCAAAGATTGAAATGTAGCTGGTGCATTACACAAACCAAATGGCATAACTAGGAATTCATAGTGGCCATTGTGTGTACTGAAAGCTGTGAGATACCTATGCTCAGGCTTCATTAATATTTGAAAATATCCTGACCTCAGGTCAATTTTTGAGAAAAACTTAGCACCATGCAGCTTATCCAATAGCTCATCAATAACTGGAATAGGATAGTCATGTTTAATGGTCAAACTGTTCAAGTATCTGTAATCAACACACATCCTCCATGTGTTATCTTTCTTCTTGACCAAAATAACTGGAGATGCAAATGGACTGTGGCTTGGATGTATAATCCCAGAGTCCAACATTTCTTTCACTTGTTTTTCTATTTCATCTTTCTGAGCATGTGAAGTCCTGTAGGAATAGTGGTGTTTGGGAACACTATCTGGTTTCAACAGAATGTGGTGTTCAATTCCCCTCTCTGGAGGTAGTCCCTGTGGTTCTTGGAAGATATCTGAGAAAGAATCCAATAGGTCCTGAAGGTAGGCATTGACCTTTGGCTGGTCACTTTCCATGGTAAGGAGATAGATGCCTTCAATCTGAGAGTGATCATAATGTGTCATTTTGTACAATGCTTCCCCAGAAATAAACTTTGCCCCCTTTGCTGCAGTTAGGGCTTGTATCTTGACTCTTTTTCCCAATAGATTCACAGTAAAGGTCATGTTATCATAATCAAGTTCTATAGGGGTACATGACTTCAACCAATCCCCACCAAGTATGAGGTCACACCCAACATTTTGCAACACCCTCAGACTATAATTAAAATGGTGTCCCTGCATGTCCCACTTGAAATTCTCCACCACTTTAGTGCTAACCATTCTATTGCCATTGGCAACTCTTACCATGATAGGTTTAACATCTTTCAGTTGGCAACCTAACCTCTGGGCAGTATCCTCTTGGATGAAACTTAAGGTACTCCCTGAATCAATAAGAATGTGTAATTTAGTGTTCCCTCCTTTCGCAAACAGCCTCATAGTTGTTAGGCCCCCTTCACCAGCCAAGGCATTAAGTGTCATCTGAAATTCTTCCATGGTTTCAGACTCACCCCTCTGTTCCTCTTCTGGTACATATAGCTCTAGATAAGAACTTTCTTCCTCTTCAGACATGATCATGTAAGTAATCCTGTTCTTGCACCTATGACCCATGACATATTGCTCATCACAGTTATAACACAAGCCCCTCTCCCTTCTGGCCAGAGCCGGCTCCTTGGGGAGGCAAGCTAGGCCCATGCCTAGGGCCTCCATTTATTTGGGGCCTCAAATTTTTTTTAGTATTATGTATTTGTGTTGGGCTTGGCTTATTTATACAAATAAATGGGCTAATTACTAAATATAGACTTGACTCATTATACAAATGACATAGCTAATGACAAAATATGTGTTTTGTGTAGAAATTTGAGCCCATAAATATTTCATTTGTTATGTTATAATGTCCGGTCAGAACAAATTGTGCGAAAATAAATATTCTTTGCAGTGATATGATTTTTATTTTCTTCTTCATGTGCTCTTGTGTCTGCTCGAATATAATTTATTAAAGATCTTTATAACTCAAAGGTAATTTATCAGTTCCAAAATCTAGAAAAACAAGAAATTTTTTTATTTATTTCAATATTTGTTAATTTAATAGTACGGTTTAATTAGGTTCTTTTCTGCTATGATTTTATTTGCAAATAGCCTAATTACCACGCAAAGGCAAAATGAAAAATTCGAAGAGAAAAAACTTGTCTAGGGCCTCCATATTTCTGGAGACGGCCCTGCTTCTGGCAGCCATCTCAGAGGCTGTCAGCATTTTAATTGAGGGTCTATAGGTACCTCCTTGTGGAATACTGTTGTCCACTCTTCTGGTTGGTGAGAAATTGATAAGTGGTGGCCTGGTAGTTTGTTTGGCTCTCTTGACAATGGCCTCCATAGTGCATAGTTGCTTCCTGCCCAACTCTATGGTCTGTTGAAGAGTTGCAGGTTCAAACATATTAATGAAAGCCTGCAAATCCTCACTAAGGCCACTGAGAAAACTAGCAATGAAGTATTCTTCAGAAAATTCCCCTCCATTAAACAACAACATACAGGATTTCAGTTCTTCAAATTTATCCACATAATCAGTATAAGACCCTGTGTGTTTCAATTTGTTAAACTCCCCAATGATTTTAGCTTCTTTAATTTCCTCAAACCTGGAAGATACAATATCCAAGAATTGTGCCCAGGAAATGTCCTCAAATTTAGAGCTGAAAGTTTGAAACCACTGAGCTGCCCTTCCCTCAAAGTGCATAGAAGCTAGGGTGACTCTCTGGGCATCTGGAATGTGGGGAATAATCCTGAAATATCCATTACACTTGAGTATCCAGCTCCTTGGGTTGGTCCCATCAAACCTGGGGAATTCCAGTTTAGGCATAGGATTTACAAAAGAGGGTTGCTGAGTTGAATTTTCCATTTGCCATGGTGTTCTGGAGAATTGTTGTTTGAAATGTGACCCACTTTTAGTTTGTTGACTATTATGAGGACCCAAAATAGATTCTTCTCCTTCCGGTGGTTTTCCTTGAGATATGTTCATCAGCTGCAGTTAAATAGAGGCCAAAACATTTGCCATGTTGTCATATTTGCCATCTAGACTGCCCATCTTGTTCTGTAGATCAGTGCTAAGTCCTGCCATTTTGTCTTGCAAATTAGAGCTTAGCCCAGACATTTGCTCCTGCAATTTAAGCTCACTTGACTCCCTTTTCATGGCCTCCGTTTGTATAATTTGATCTAACTTTTTCTGATTTTCCTGCAGCTCTTTGAGGCGCGTATTCTCAGCCATGTGGAGGATCGAGGGCTCTGATGATACCAATTGTAATGACCTTTGATATTTGTAATTTTTCTGTATTTTAGTAGATAGCTTAGAGTAGAAATATGTTCATGAATATAGAAGGTGGGGGAGAAGACATATAGAAGAGAGAGAGAAGAGTAGAGGGATAGCGAGAGAGAGAAAGGAGAATATTTCATGTAACAGCTTACTTCATTTCATCACATGTGAGGTAATTTATAATCTGTTACAAACTTTTGTCCTAATTCCCAAAATGTCCTTAGCTTCTAGAATAAAACATATCTGCACCCAAATTCTAAGTATAGTTGGCTAGCCCAATTTTTACATAAAAACCGACCACTAGAAAGGCCCAACTTAAAACATAATTTCAAATACAAACAAAAAGCCCAAATAACTAGAACTCATAAGGTGGCCCTAAATATGAAACAGGCCAAAAATCCCAATTTATCTAATCTTCAAACTGTAACCCTAACCCTTTCTCGTCATCCTCGTCGCCTCGACTTCCTCCGGCGACCTTGTTTACTTCCAAAACCACCAAATCTTCTCTTTTCTCGGCCAAGTTCTCGCCTTTTCCATTATTCTTCACCTCAAAGCTTCCGCACTTAGCCGTCTCGAATGGAAGCATCACCTGAAGTCATGACATGGTCATGCCACATAAGATTATTTGTGACACGATGGCGATAAAATGGAGCAATTGAAGATGCTCTAACATGTATTAGGCCTCATATGGGATCGTCCTCAATAAATTGCACATTAATCATCTTCACCCTAATATAATATGGGAAAACTGTAAACTAGATGAGTTGTTTTTAAGCTCGACTTAGACCCGTCAAAACTTGAGAATAGGGTTTTTACGTAATTTTCAAATTTATTTTCATTGAACTTCCTATCACAAAAATAGATTTTCTATCCTACTTAACGCCAAGTTCCTTTTCTCAGCCCCATGGACAAAATGTAGGATTGATGCTCTCGAACTCGAGCTCGTTAGTTAATGAACCGAACACCCGAGCTAGACTCAAGTAGTACGAGTTTGAACTCGGCTGGCCTGACGTACATAGCACAAGGTGGATTTGGGCTGTGTGGTTCTTAACTGTTTTATATTGCTTGGGCTATTTGGTTTATTTGTAATAGCGCAGATCATAAATTGGGTTTTCAGCTAACTCCATACAAGCCCATACTGGTTGCATTTTATACAGCCTAGCCCATATTTATAAAGCATATAATGGGCCCACCCTCTTAAAAATCTAAACCAAAGTGAACCAGAAATTAAAA